GAACCAATAATGTTCCTTAATGGCCAAACAACATTTATCGGTGCCCACATGACCAAGATCATCGTGGCAACTACGAATAACATTATTCTCCATTGACAAAGGGACATAAAATAGAAGTAAATCATTATGTTTCCTATAGACTAAACCGTTATTTAATTCAAACAATTTCGATTGATTTGTTTCTAAAGAAGTTCTTATTTCCAAAATTTTTGAGTCTTGTCCTTGTTTAACTCCGAGATTTGTTTCGAAAGAAGTCTCTTCTAACACTAAAACATTTGCAAAACAGCGACTCAACGCATCAACATGTTGCATTTGTGTTCCACTTCTGTGTTCTAATTTATAGTCAAAATTTTCTAAAATAAGACTCCACCTCATAATTTTAGGGTTTATGTCTTTTTTCTTTAGAGCCGCATTAACACTATCACAATCAGTATAAATTTTGAAAGAGATGCCCTGAAGATAAACTCGAAATCTAGTCAAAGTATTAATTATTGCTTTCAATTCCAAAATGAAGCTGTGTTGTTTTGACTCCGCTTCATTCGTACGTTGACTATAAAAGAAAACTGGATGAAACTTTTGAACAGTTTGTTTTTGTAAAATAATTCCAGCGAAACCATGAGAACTGGCATCACAATGGACTTGAGTTTCGGCAGTGGGAGAGTATATAGCTAAGACAGATTCGGAAATTAGTAAATTTTTCAAAGTGTTAAAACTCTTTATTTGTCCAGGACCAAAATAAAAAGGTACATTTTTCTTCAACAAATCATATAAGGGACCGGCTATTATTGAAAAGTTCTGCACAAATTTTCTGAAATAGGACGCCAATCCTATGAAACTATGTAATTGTTTTGTAGTTCGAGGCATCGGGTAATTTTTTATAGCTTTCAAATGTGCATCATTAGGCTTAATCTGAGAGCCGTTAATTAAGTAGCCTAAATGATTAATTTCTGTATAAAGGAAAGAGCATTTATCCAGTCTTAGTTGTAGGTTATTTTGTACCAATAAATTGAATATTTCTTTTAAAATCATTAAATTTTCTTCAATTGTTTTTGTTGCTATCAATAAATCGTCGATATAAATTAAAAGTTTATTCTGTTCTAATAAATCTTGGAAAATTGTACGAATAAACCTCATAAATGCTGAAGGGCCATTTTTTGTACCAAATGGTAATTTCAAAAATTCATATTGAGCATCAGGTGTCACAAAAGATGTGTATTTTATGGATGACTGTTCAATACTAATAGAATAAAATGCATTTTTCAAATCTAATTGGGTAAAGTAGTTTTTATCTCTTAATTGATCGATCTGATCCTCAATTAATGGGATAGGAAAATTATCACGTAAAGTAATTTTGTTTAAAGACCTGTAATCAATACAAAGTCTATAGTCCATAGTTTTTTTCTTAATAAGCACAACAGGCGAGCTATATTCAGAATTGCTTCTGCGAATAATATTCCTATCTAGTAAATCCTTGGCTATTTCTTGCACAGCCTGTCGTTCAGAAAAAAGAAAGCCTGCGTGGTTTGTAAAAGAAAGGAACATGGTTAGGATCTACCACAATTTTAAATTCGTATTTAGTCTGTGGCTCAAGAGGCCTTGGTGGATTTAAATAATCAGAAATAAAAAGGTCGGTTAACATTTTACTTTGAGTTGGATCCAGAGATGGATTTATATTCAAATCAATTTCATTTTGCTCTACATACTCTATATGCAAAATTTCTTCGGGACACTCAGATTTGCTTTTACTCAAGTTTAAAGGTGAAGGCAAAATGTTTACTTGTGTACCTGTAAAAGATATAATAATTTGATTGTTTGTCATAAAGTCACGCCCTAAAAGACATGTATAGGGTATAGTATCATTTGGGACCACATACAAAAGTAAATCAAAAACAATATCAGCAACATTAATTTGAAACAAAACTGAACCTAAGATTTCTAATTTTGTCTTATTTATGCCTTCATAAGACCTATTTGGTATTTCAGAAAATTTGAAATTAAACATTTTAATAGTATCATAAGTTATCAGTGATATTGCACTACCTGAGTCCACAATAGAGTTTACATAAATAGAAATGTTTTCCTTACTCAATTCAATTGGCAACATGTATCCACTTGTGACGCTTGGCTCCACTAATAATGAAGAAGTAGATGCATGTTCCGTCTTAGGCCTAACTAGAGTAGGCGTAAACTTTGGGCAATCTTTTTTCTGGTGCTGAAGCGACCCACAAATATAACAGGAGCCCTTTGCTCTTGGTGGCTTAATGCACTGGGAAGCACCATGACCTAGGATATTACAGTTAAAGCATCTCAAAGCACTACCATTTCCAACTGCAGGCACGCCACTGGACCTATTAATTTCGGGCTTAAAAATTTGTGCAGGTTTTTTGTCTAATTGAGGTTCCTTTCTGTCCTTAATTCTGGTTTTACGTGCCAAAACAATCCTCTCATAATTAACGATGTCTTGGAACAAACTATCTTCGTCTTAATGGCTTTTCGACATGATGAAATTGCTCAACTCTTTGGACCAGAGCCCTATCGCTACTTGCTCTTTAATTTCCTCAAAGCAAAGTTCCAAGTTTTTGCATAATGCTACTTTACAATGGAAGTAGATTGAAACCCCCTCACTTGACAGCTGTACTCGTTCTTGCATTTTCTTCCAATTGTCTGTTTTGTTTTGAATGAAAACAAACGTTTTTTTGAAGGCATTCTTAAAGCTGGACCAATCAACAAGCTCTGCACTACGACCCATGAACCAATACTTTGCAGCACCTTCTAAATTAGTTTTTGCTGTTTGAAAAATAAAGGCATCCGGCCAATTATGTAGCAAGGCTGTGCTTTCAATTTGCTGCAACCATATTTTGGCCTTACTCGAGTCTTCTTCACCGTTGAATTTGTCTATGCTCTTCGAAAGGTCAGGCATAATATTAAAATTTGAAATATTACCAGCTTGGCTTTGGGAATTCCTAGCAAAAGGGGTTGTAGCTGCTTGATTCTGCTGCAACTGAAGCATTTGCAGCATTTGTGCATTCTGTTGTACCAGCATATTAACAACGTTCACCAATTGAGCTGGATCTTGCACAGGATTCGGTGGTGCTTGCTCGGCATTATTATTATTATTTGGTTGCTGCTGTAGCCGCTCCGCCATAAAATTTTCAAAGTCCTCGACACTGTTCACATCCATTTTTATTTTTTAAATAGGATAATCGCTCCTTAAAGAAAAAAAAAATCACAGGCAAACCATAATTTTGCCCAAAAACATAATTTTCACTATACTGCACTAGACGGCTCAAACTTGCTATAGCCCCCGAGTGTAGACTGTAGACCCCGACATGAACAATGCTGTAACCCCACACCTGAAGTTGTAGGGAAGGCCGGCGATGTTAGTTTACAAAATAAAAGAAGTTGCGATTCTATTTTAATTAACTTTTATTGGAAAAACTGGCGATTAACGGTTTGTTTCGTGGCACGTGGTTGTTGTTCTTCTTGATTCTAGAAAAAACCTGGTCTGTGTCAAAAGTCAGAAATGTCATTCATAAATGACATTTCTATTACGTCACAGGACAGGGTTGCTACCTTTATGGTTGCTACATAACCTAATGAATGCTTCAATATGGCGCACAGATAGGATAAACACTATGAAAGTAAGGAAATTGCTAAATTGCTTACACTATCTCACAATAATTTCGAAAAAATTTACTTTTTTGATAGAGAAACAGTCTAAAATGCAATTTTAAGAAGAATTTGAGTTGTTTTGCCGTCTTTAATGCGGTTTTCAATCAAAAATACGCCAGGAAATGAACTTGATGAAAATAATCACCAGTTTCGATCAAAACATTCGTTAGGAATTGTTTTTCCATTGTTTTAAAATTGAATTTGATGGTTAAACGCGTATTTCAAGCCATATTTTCATTTGGAAGTGAAGTTATTCCAGATAATGTGAAAATAATTCTATCTCACGATATATTCGAAAAAATTTACTTTTTTGATAGAGAAACAGTCTAAAATGCAATTTTAAGAAGAATTTGAGTTGTTTTGCCGTCTTTAATACGGTTTTCAATCAAAAATACGCCAGGAAATGAACTTGATGGAAATAATCACCAGTTTCGATCAAAACATTCGTTAGGAATGGTTTTTCCATTGTTTTAAGCTTGAATTTGATGGTTAAACGCGTATTTCAAGCCATATTTTCATTTGGAAGTGAAGTTATTCCAGATAATGCGAAAATAATTCTATCTCACAATAATTTCGAAAAAATTTACTTTTTTGATAGAGAAACAGTCTAAAATGCAATTTTAAGAAGAATTTGAGTTGTT